AAAGTATCGTTTCCCTATTCCCCGTTTGGACGATATGCTTGATATGATGATGGGAGCGATTCTATTTTCTAAGATTGACCTCAAGAGTGATTATCATCAAATTAGGATTCGCCCAGGGGATGAATGGAAGATGACATTTAAAACTAAAGATGGTCTATATGAATGGATGGTCATGCAATTCGGTCTTAGTAACGCCCAAGCACATTTATGAGAATTATGACTCAAGTCCTCCGTCCTTTCTTAGAAAAATTTGTGGTTGTTTACTTTGACGATATATTGATCTATAGTAAATCGGTGGCACAACACTTAACTCATTTAAGTCAAGAATGTGAGGTTTTGAGGAAAGAACAACTATATGCTAATCCTAAGAAGTGGAAGTTTCTCACTAATAATGTCACTTTTCTCGGATTTATCATATCGTCCAAGGCATATAGTTGACCCTGAGAAAGTGCGAGCAATTAATGAGTGACCTGAACCAAAAAAATAAGAGATGTTTGGAATTTTCATGGATTGACCACATTCTATCGGAGGTTAATTAGAAATTTTAGCACTATCGTGGCCCCTATAATGGATTGCTTAAAAAAAGGAGAATTTAAATGGACCATTTCGACCACTAAAGCATTCGAAGAAATCAAGAGAAGAATGGTGGAAGCCCTGGTTATGCGATTACCTGACTTTTCTAAAGTCTTTTAAGTAACATGCGACGCATCAGACATTGGTATTGGTGGAGTCCTATCTCAAGAAGGACACCTTGTCGCTTACTTTAGTGAAAAACTTAATGACATTAAACAACGATACTCCACTTATGACAAGGAATTCTATGCCATCATTCAATCCCTTAGGTATTGGAGACACTACCTGCTCCCACAAGAGTTTGTTATATTCTCTGATCACGAGGCTTTGCGTTACATTAACTCCCAAAAGAAACTCAATGCCTGAAATGGCCGTGAGTTTAATTTATGCTAGAATATACTTATACGATTAGACATAAAGCAGGATCCGAGAATAAAATAGCTGATGCATTAAGTCGTCGGATGATGTTTACTCATAAAATGAGGGCTGAAATAATTGGATTTGAATGCATAAGAGAAGATTATAAAGATTGCCCTGACTTTAAGGATACTTATTCACTGCTAACTACTGGAAGTGAACGTATAATCCATGATTTCTTTTTGGACGATGTATATTTATTCAAATCCCAAAAACTTTGCATTCCCAACACATCTCTACGGGAATTTCTTCTAGAAATTACACGCAGGAGGTTTAGCTGGACACTTTGGTCAATCCAAAACCATTGATTTAGTGGAACATCATTTTTTTTAGCCGAGCCCTAAAAGGGACGTTAGTAAGTTGGTTAGGAGATGTCACATATGTCAGCTTGCTAAACATCATAAGCAAAACACATAACTCTACAACATTCTCCCCATACCTAATTGCCCATGGCAGGACATTAGTATGGATTTTTTCCTTGGACTACCAAAGAATTTTAGGAAACATGATTCCATTTGTGTGGTAGTCGACAGGTTTTCTAAAATTGCCAATTTCCTTGTTACAAGACTTTTGATGCTTCTCGAGTTGCAAAGATTTATTTTGAGGAAGCTGTCAGATTACATGGATTGCCTAAAACCATAGTGTCTGATCGAGATGTCAAGTTCACTTAGCTATTTTTGGAAGACTTTATGGCATAAAGATGGGCACCAAACTTCAATTCTCAACAGCTTTCCATCCTCAAATGGACGGACAAACCGAAGTCATCAATAGGAGTTTAGGCAACCTTTTAAGAACTTTAGTAGGAGAACATATTCGAGATTGGGATCCCAAATTGCCTATAGCTGAATTTGCTTATAACAACTTTGTTAATAGAACCACAGATTTAAGCCATGCTGAAATTGTGTATGGGTACCAACCTAGACAACCTATAGATCTGATCACTGTGTCCTCAGTCTAGAGCATCTGAGTCTGCATCTACATTTACATCGCATCTCCAGGAATTGCACAAAGAAATTCATAAAAAAAATTGAACAAAGCAATGTTAACTATAAACTTAATGCAGATCTCAAGAGAAGATTCAAAGAATTTAAGGTTGGGGATTTTGTAATGGTTCGGATTCATCCGAAACGATTCCCACAAGGGACTGTTAAAAAGTTACATGCTAGAAGCGCTTGACCTTTCAAAATAATTTCAAATATAAATGATAACGCTTATGTGCTAGACCTACTTGAAGGTCTTAACATAAATCTTACATTTAACATTGAAGATCTTGTAACCTTTGAGTGACCATAGTTTAACTCCACAAATCCACTAAATGATGAGCCTTGTGAGACCATACCTGATGAGAACCCTAGCCTACCTCTATTCCCAAATATCCATATTTTACCTAGTGTGGAAAAGATCGAAGCAATATTTAATGATCAAATCATTTCCACCAAAGAAGGTGGGCGCCAAAGGTATTTAGTTCAGTGGAAAGGGAAATTGGAGACGGAGAATACGTGGATTTGTTGAGCTTCAAAGATTAGATTTTGACCTTCTAGAGCTATATGAAGGCACTTTTGACGCCTACTCGACAGGGTCAAGTATTCTTCCACCCGGGGAGAATGATGAGGACATTAGCAGGAGATTCCAGAACGTCTATCACCGGAAGCAGCGTAGATCGACGGCTACGATTAGCAGCCTTTATTTTTGATATATTTCATGTATTAGTTTATTTTATTTCAAGTTTGACAATTGTACCCTTGCTTGTTTATTGTTTTGAATTGTAGCCTTAAGGGCATTTCTATCTTTTCTTTTCTTCTCTCTTTGAGGCCTATATATGAGGCCCTTAGTCTTGTATTATTGTTAATGAATGATTAATGAAAAATATTCATTGTTTTTTTTTTAAGAGCTTGTGAGTTCTTGAGTGGTGAAGTCCCAAGGTGTGGGCAAAAGCAATACCCATCATCCGCCGGAAGTCTCCCGGGCTCGTGGTTCGACTTCTCCCCCATTGCTTCAAGCTGCCGGCCACCCCTTCCTCTTCTAGCCACCGATCCCAATCCCCACCTTCTCCACCTAGCCGCTGGCCCAACCTCGGCCTACCCTCCTCCTACCCGCTGGCCCCTAGCCCCTCTCCCGTCCATAACTGCCAACCTAGCCCACAACCACAACCTCTTCTCCCTACCCCCTCTCCTAGCCGCCGGCCACACCTCCATTGCCCTCTTGATGATGATTTCAATCATCATTACTACATACCTAAATTAGCCTAAATAATTTGGGGAAAGAATGAAATTCAATTTGAAATTCAAATTTGAATTTCAAATACTTTCCTAAATTAACTTAAGCTAAATTAGGAAAGTTCCTAAATTTAAGTCTAATTTAATTTTAAATTAGATTTGAATTAATTATCCCTTTCCTAAATTAGAATAATGATTTAGGAAGTTTTAAATTCTCTCTCAATTCCCTTCTCCCCCATGCATGGCGCCGACTCCCCTTGCCCCCACTCTCCTCTCTCTCTCTCTCCTTCAATTACCACATGACTTGAACTTGAAATTCAAATTTCAAATTTCAATTCCCTTTTCCTACTTAAACTAAATTTGAAAATTAATCTAAGATTTTAGTTGCCTTTCCATACTCCAACCCCAACCCTAACTTCATAAAACAAGCCCCTTCCCTCCCTTGGCCGACTCTCTATCCCTCTTTCTCGCTCTTGGACTTTCTTCTTTCATGAGTTATCTTCGAAGAGAAGAAGAAGACATTGATCCCTTCCCGACTTTCTTACTAGTGCATGGCCGATCCCAAGCGTGACCATGGATTCGTCTACCGACTACCAAGGCTTAGTGTATATTCTTCAATCCCCCTTCTACGACCTCAGTTTGGAAGTTGACGACTCTGTCGAAGACTACATCATTCGCATCCTATTCACCTTGGCACCTTCTATCAAAGAACATCTACCATCCGGACATTGGTGAATCATCGGACATCTACCAACGTCTCCTCCTCCGGCTAACTTTCCGTGGATCAAGATACTTGGCGTCCTATCACTTTTGGTGGCATCGTTAGGACTGCTGAGATTCTCCTTCCGCTAAGACCATTCAAAGAGCATGAGTAAGGGAAACTCAATGTGACTTTTCTAACTGTTAAGTGGTGGATTTAAAGTTTACAACATTTAAGCTTATACTTTATGATTGAAGTTATTTTAGGTTCTTGTTATTCTACTGTGTAACCAATTTCCATAACAATATTGATATTCTTAAATTCCTAAAATCCCATCTGGTGAAATATTAGTTTATTGTTACTGCGCTTAAATCCAATTTTTATAAATTTCTAAAGCAATTCCTATTTTGTTTCACATTAGATTTATAGGACATCTCTTGTATAATGCCCTTGCAAATTTGCATTTATTTTTTTTTTTGTAAATCCTCATCTTTAACGCACTATAAACAGCATTGGTTGAGAAGATACAGAGTTTTGCATGACGTTTTTTTGAACTTGTTGAATAGCTTCTTTCTTTTATAAAACAAAAGAAATTATATTGTATTTTTTTGCTTCTAAGAATATGCTCATGGCTTCAAGAGCAAAAATCACATTATATAAAAATATGTTGATTGAGTTCATGAACTTTCTGCTCTTAAATAATTCCAAGAGTGAACTAAACTATTTAGGTTGTGCATTTGGTTCTTTTCATCAGATCTTCTCCAGTGAGCTGTGCACTTGTCCTCATTGAATAATAGCCATGTTTCATATTGCTTGTGAAGTTAAAAGACAATATAGTTTGAATCTGAGGAAAGTTATTATGATTATTATACAATTGAATCTTGATTTAAAATATGATGTAATATACAAGATTGTTGGCTGTGGACGAAGAGCTGTTTTATTCTGAATGAACTAGAAGGATTTGATACGTAATTTGTAAGATACAATGCTTAATGAACTATTTTGCATCGAAGCACCACTTGGATTTCCAAAGTCTTGTTTATGTTTTTCTTGTCTTAAAAAATATGATAACATTTTCCTCTTTTATTATGTAGGAGAATTCCTTGCATCTGGTGCTGATGGTATGTTCTTTTATTCAATTTCTTATGTCGTCTTGGTTGAACGAAACCCAATTATCACTAATTTCTCAACTTGCTAGACATCTTGATGTCTTGCTTAAACATGAGTTGGATGAGAGGGCAATGATTGCTTGTATGCATGCAGGTGGAGATCTAGTTATATGGAAGTTGCACTCAACAGATGATGGGTCGGCTTGGAAAGTTTTTAAGACATTATTGTAAGCAATCTCTAGAAGTAGGCTAATATTTCAGTCGTATTCATGAATTTATGCTGAACCTTTTGGGACAGATTTCACCGCAAGGATGTCCTTGATCTTCAGTGGTCTCCTGATGGTGGATACCTTATTTCTGGGTCTGTTGACAACTCTTGCATAATATGGGATATCAGTAAAGGTCTGTATGTGAATTACTTGTTAAAAGTACAAGCTTAAAAACACCTATAGGTCACATAGTAAAATTCTGTCATTTGTTGGCAGGTTCTGTCCATCAGATTTTAGATGCTCATTTGCATTATGTTCAGGGTGTTTCTTGGGATCCATTAGGTTGCTACGTTGCTTCTCTTAGTTCAGATAGAACATGCCGGATATATGTGAACAAGCCTCAAACTAAGCAAAAGGGCCATGACAAAATTAATTATGTGTCTCAATATTTATTGACAAAGTTGGAGGTACAGAACACGGATGATTCTACGGTATGTTGACCTTCTATTAATTCTTATAGAACTAAGTTTGCAGCAGCTTCCGGATAAGCATTCATTCTTCTCTATACAGGCTCTGTTGGCAAAAACTCATTTATTTCATGATGAAACACTAAATTCCTTTTTTAGAAGATTATCGTGGTCACCTGATGGATCATTTTTACTAGTTCCTGCAGGTATAGTTCTAAACGATATACTTTTCTTGGTTTCATATCTTTTATTTATTTATTTTTTAAAGTTAATCTTCTTTTGTAATCCAAATAAAAAAGCTAGTCTTGCATGTAAATGCTGAGCATACTTTAATTCATTTGTTTTACTTGAATGCTTACTGAATTCATTTATATGCGTGCATTAGTTTCGCAAATTTCTATTCTTTAGATTTCCCTATACTTTGAACTTTGGTGAAGTGATCCAAATCAAGAAAGAGAACTATATATATATATATATATATATATATATTCATTTCATCTCACAATTTTAGCCCCAACATAAATCTCTAAATAGGGGTTCAAGGGGTGTGCTTAGTTGAACTAATTTTTGTACTCAAGCTTTTTTTACTAAAAATATATTCGGTTTTTTTCTCTAAAATTCTTTTCCTTCTCTACCTTTTTGTTTTGCTTTTCACTCACAACTCTTAATATAGTTGGGTGTGATTCATGAACATTTTTGATTTCAACACATTGAAAAACATCATTTGGTACTTTAAAGCTCTTGAAAGTAACTTCATGTTCTTCAGTGTCTTTAGGTGTTCCTTTTTACATGATTATTTGCTATTAAAAAAAATCAAGTATAGTTTATTCCTTTGCATTTTGTCTCTTATTTCAAATTTGTCATAAATCCTTTAACAAACTATTTTACCAGATCCTACAAGTGTACAAATCACATGTCGCTGATATTAATCACGGCTGAGTAACTAATTCCAAAAAATGAAGGCATACTAATATTACAAGTTATAAATTAGTTTAAGCTGCTCTTAGAACTGCCGTGTGCTGACCTCAACATAGTGATGACGGTTTACAAGAACATCCTCCAATGAATGATTTCATGAAAGTTAGCCTAAAATATTTTGTATCTGGTAATTCCTTAAGTTTCCTATATTTAGCTATTAATAATGTCAAATAAAAATAACTGCTTTGTGCTGATTTGGATTTTATCTAAGACACATACTTATTTTCTCTCATTTAATGTTTTACTTATCCAGACCCCATGTAGTGGGATAAAGATTTGATGTTGTAATTGTTGTTGTTGTAATGTTTTACTCTTTTAGATTTTTCATCTGCTATTCATTAGTCACCTTTTCTTCTAGGTATATGCAAACTTTCACCTGCATCTGATCCAATCAATGCTGCATATATTATTTCCAGGAAGGAACTTTCAAGGTACAAAATCAAAACAGTGAACTTTTTACGTACTCATTTCTATAGAAGTGACAAATCCTTTGAGCTTGTGTCCTTTCTCAAATGCTTTGTTGAAGGATTTTATCAAAATTACACTTTTTTTGAAACTGCATGCTAATCCAATGAATTTATGACCTGCACAAGTACTTTACTGAAGGCTATTTTTTCACACGTTTATCTATCAATCCATCCCCCACAATTAGTTTTTATGAATTTAAATCTATCTGTCACTCATATAAAAACATTGTTGAATTTTTCTATTTGTTTTAGTATCATGAACATCATTTGCTTCTGTAGCATGCTAGCTGATTTAGCTGCTCTTCATCACTTATTCCAATTTAATATCATCAATTCAAACGTGTTATCCAACTTATTATGTTTTTTTTGTTGGCAGATTCATTTTCAGCATGTTATCTCAGATGTTAGGAAATAAAAATTAAATGAGTAAAAATCTAACATAGTCCCCCAACTATTTGTATTATCAATTTAGTCCAAGAGTATCAAATTTCTCTAATTTTGTTTCTCAACTATATAAATATGATCCCAAATGGTCTTGCATGTAGAAGTCGATGAAAATTAGGATTAAAAAATAATCCTTATTTGGTCCCTCAATTATACAAATTGATCATATATGTTAAGAAAGGTTGAGGTAGACTTAAAAAGGCTTGGTTAGAAAGCATTCGAAATGATTTTTTTATTAGTTTTAAATGAGAAATTGAATCTTAATAGGACACAATGGAGAAAAATGATTCATGTAGTTGACCCCAGATAGTGGGATAAAGGCTTGATGTTGTTGTTGATCTTAGTTTAGTACTTGAGGGATCATTTAAGATCAATATTGTATAGTCTAGAGACTAAATTGGAAAAATGTGAAACTTTGGGATTAAATTGACCACATACAAATAGTTAGGGGATTATTTTTACTTTTTCTCAAAATTAAATTCTTTGGCTAACGTTTTGCATTTTGGTTGGGTATTATTATTTCTGCAGGCCCGCAATGAGTCTTGTAGGTCCCAGTAAACCCATTGTAGCTGTAAGATTTTGCCCTATTCTTTTCTGTCTTCAAGGAAACACAGGTATCTCTCAAGGGTTATTTTTTTTCTGTAAATTAGGGGCTTTTAATTGTAACTGAGGTCTCTGCACTAATTGTAGCAACCGGTTTGTTCAAACTTCCTTACCGAGTTATTTTTGCCGTGGCAACAATCAATTCTCTATACATTTATGATTCCGAGAGTATTTCACCAATAGTCATAGTAGCTGGACTACACTATGCTGCTATCACGGATATTTCATGGTTAGTAGCATTTTAGTATCATATATCTCTTCATCAAATGTTTTTTTTAGTAATTTTCATGTTTTATTCTCAATATTCTTTTTATGCTCAGTGTAACTTGGCAGTTGTCTTCTGACTCACTTTACTACTAGGTCTCCAAATGCTAAATATCTTGCACTATCTTCTCAAGATGGTTATTGTTCTATTCTAGAGTTTGATGATGATGAACTTGGTGTGCCTTTCTCCCTTGAAGGTGTGAGCTTTTATTTTTGTCTTCAGTTTTTTATTTGATTCTCTTGTAGCAATTGTATTCTTATAAACCGTTATATGGTTGGCCTGATGGATTTTGAAGAGAGAAAATATATATATATATATATATATACACACACACACACACGAATCTCTGGTGTGCTATTGGCCTAAGTGGCTCCCTTGGTCAATGTCTTGCAAATAAGAACCCCTGCATAACATCTGCTTTCTTTGCATATTATCCTATTTGATGTGTTTTTATTGTCAGTCACCTAATGATTGAATGAAAACTGTGTAGAACTTCTGAACAAGTGGTTAACCTGCAGAAGAGAAACAAGAGAACAAAGAATAGAAAGGAAGAAGAAGAACAGTATTTCATAATCTCTTCACTATGTTTTTCATTTCACTGTAGCTCATTATATGTACATGTATTTCATGATTACATGATAAAGCAAATAGCCACGTGGACGGTGAGGATCAAACCGTTAGAGGGCAACGGTGATTAGCTTAAGCACTAACCTGCAGCAAACAACTGCACATGGCATAACAGAAGCATGAACCTGAGGAGACGGCTGCATATTGCATAATCGAAGCACTAGCTGTGTGTGCTTGGCTCAATACCTCCCCGTAAGCTAACAAGCGGTGGAGAAATAATTAGCTTAGTTCTGAGCTGTGTAAATCGAGGAATAGAGAGAGATTTGGTAAAGACATCAGCTAGCTGATCTTGAGTGTAGACATGAGCAATATGGAGAACTCTGTTTTTAATGCAATCTCTAACAAAATGAAAATCAATTTCTATATGCTTTGTTCTAGCATGAAAAATTGGATTGTTAGCTAAAGCGATTGCAGAAATATTATCACAGAAAAGAACCGTCGGATGAGAGACAGGAATCTTGAATTCATTGATTAACCGGCGAAGCCAAATGAGATCCGTGGCAGCAGTAGCTAGAGCTTGATATTCGGCCTCTGTAGAGGACCTAGCAACAGTTTTCTATTTCTTAACACACCAAGAAACAAGTGTGTTTCCAAGAAATGCACAATAACCAGAGGTAGATTTGCGATCGGTTGGATCACCGGCCCAATCCGAATCAGAGTAAGCCACTAAATCAAGAGACCCGGAAGAAATCGGAAGACCAAATGATAGCGTGCCCTTAATATAACAAAGGAGCCGTTTAAGTAATTTGAAATCATCTTCAAGCGGGGCATGCATATGTTGACATAACTTGTTAACTGTGTAGGCAATATCGGGCCGAGTAATGGTTAGGTATTGTAAAGACCCAACCATATGCCGGAAATGTTCAGCTGCATCAGACGGTACAGTGTTGGAAGAAACAGAGAAGGATTTTGAAGGAATTGGTGAGCTGATTGGTTTACAATCCTTCATACCCTCACGGTTCAGAATGTATGAAGCATAAGTGGACTGGGATAAGTGTAAACCGTGGGTAATAGAGGTAACCTGCATACCCAGAAAGTAAGCAATAGGGCCTAAGTTCTTCATATGAAATTCTATAGATAAACCACTTAGAAGATTCTGAATTGTTGGATTGTGATTCCCAGTCAACAATATATCATCTACATATACAAGAATGTAGATAGTAACTGAATTTTTGCAGTATAATAACAACGACGAATCAGCGGTACTGTGACTAAATCCAAATTTGAGAAGGTATGTAGAGAAAGTTTCAAACCACTTTCTAGGAGATTGCTTTAAGCCATAGATGGCTTTTTGCAACAAACAAACATGATCCGGATATAATGGATCCACAAACCCTTGAGGTTGAGCCATAAAAACTGTTTCATTAAGCCTAACATGAAGAAAGGCATTGGATACATCCAACTGTAAAATCTGCCACTGTGAGGTCACAGCCACTTTCAAGAAGATCCGGATTGTGGGAAGTTTAGCTACTGGACTGAATGTGTCTTCATAGTCAATACCATATTGCTGATGACAACCTTGTGCTACAAGTCGAGCTTTATGCCGAGCAATTGAACCATCGGAATTAAGCTTAGTTATGTATATCCATTTGCATCCCAAAATATTTTGATCCGAATGGGAAGGAACAAGTGTCCAAGTTCCTTGGTGTTGAAGAGCAGCAAATTCTTGGGACATTGCTTTTCGCCAAGCAGAGGATTTAATGGCCTGAGAATAACACGTGGGATCGACCGGCAGTTTGACATGGCTCAAACTAAATATATGCTTCGGTTTTAAATTTCCAGTCCTTGATCTCGTAAGCATCGAATGAGTAGGGACAGAAGAAGGAATCGGAGATGAATTTGAAAGTGGCTGTTCTGTGGACTGAACTAAAGGCATAAGAGATGTTTTGGAAGTAGAAGAAGCGGTGGGAACAGCTGAAGACGTTGAAGATGAAGAAGTAACAAAACCGTCTGGAGACATTGAACTATCAGTGAATGGCACAAAAGGAGTTTGAACCATAGTTGGTACTAAGGCCAAAGGAGGAATGTACTGTGGTGATTTTGGTTGAACAGTATCTGAAGAAGTAGTGTGAAAAGGAAAAAGATGTTCGACAAATTTAACATGACGAGAAACAAAAAATTTACCAGATGAAATGTGATAACAAATGTACCCTTTTGTGAAAGAGGGATAACCGATAAACACACATGGAAGGGACTTAGGATGAAATTTGGTAAGAGAATTTTGTGGAAGAAACGGATAACAAAGACAACCGAAAATACGAAGCGAGCTATAATCAGGTTGTTTACGATAAAGCATATAAAATGGAGAGGATAACTTCTTAGAGAGAGATGGTAAGAGGTTTATAAGATGCACCGCAGTTTGCACAGCATGAAGCCAGAAATTCTGAGGAAGATTAGAATGAAGTAGTAGAGCGCGGGTAGTCTCGATAATGTGGCGATGCTTACGCTCAGATACCCCATTTTGTTCTGGAGTATAAGGACATGTGCGTTGATGAATAATTCCTTCGTTAGCTAACAAAAACTGAAATTGTTTGGAGACATATTCACCACCATTGTCAGAACGAAAAAATTTAATTTTAGAAGCAAACTGACGTTCAACAGATCTTTGAAATTGAGCAAAAACTAACGGTACATCAGATTTAGCAGCTAAAGGAAATAACCAGCAGAAGCGAGAGAAATCATCAATAAAGATAATATAATATTTATATCCTTGTAAAGATAAAGTAGGGGAAGGACCCCATACATCACTGTGAATTAACTGTAGAACAGAGGTAGCACGAGACATAGAAGGACTAAAGGAAAACTTATGACTCTTTGCAAGGTCACAAGCATTACATTGAAAAGATGAAGAAAAGGAAGACGACATAGGAGAAATAAACTTTTGTAGTTTCCGTAAGACAGGAAGTGAAGGGTGTCCGAGACGCGAATGCCAAATGGATGCTGTGGATGAAGCAACAAGCATAGCAACTTCGGGAGGAGCATATTCAGTGGAGATTGGATAAAGTCCTCAACGAGCTGAGCTGTGAAGAAGGATTTGCAAAGCTAGTGTCGACTTCTCCCCTTCTCTTTGCAATCGTAAACTCATTGCTCTTTCTCTCACGATTTGCTCGTTGGCTTTGGCGCTCGCTTTTCTCGCAGTTTGCTCGCATCGCGGCCTACAAGGTCTGCTGGGCCACGGATTGCTTTGGTTATGACATCCTCGTTACTATTGATCTTGCGATTTCCGACGGGGTAGATGTCCTCTCTCTCTCCCTTCGCGGTGGTGCAACGCCATTCTTCCACTGTTCTGTGACAATATCGCGATTGGCACCTTTACAGCGGTCGAGCGTGGTATCTTTGTCTCTTGCTCCGCAAGAAATAGCGGCCCGGGGTGGGGAAGCATCACCAATGCTATCCCATGGATAGCCACAGTTGGCGTTGGCACAATCAATCGAGATTTCCCGACTTACATCACACTTGACATGGGCGAATGGGCGATTGTTTTGCTGGTGTGTCTCTCTTCAGCGGCTCGTTGCATTTTTGCTTGTGTATGGTCAGTTCAACCTGGCAACCTTGTGGATCAAATTTGGGTTACATTTTCTAACTCGTTTGCAAAAACGGGCCAGATCAAGTAGTACCAGGAGCTGTTAAAATTTGAGAGCAGTGAAAATTCAATTGCAATGAAATTGAAATTGATCAACTAGTTGTTTAAAAATTAAAATTTTAATTAATTAATCAGTTAATGTGGAGAACCACTTTTAAGAATTTTTTTTTGAATGCAAAAAAGAAAAAAAGAATTTTTTTTCCACTAATCACTTCTAAAGTACAAGCTACATTGAAACCACATTCCTTAATCTATGTCTCAAATAAAAGAAAAGCAACTCTCTATCCAAACTCTCCAAAGTCTCTCCTATGTAAGCTCTGAAGCAGCACGAACTCCTACAAAAAATAAAATAAAGTTTATTAGTATTGAAATCAAATTGCTAAAGTAACAAAATAATATGTGCTACAATAAACTATGGTATTGAAAGAAAAATAGTAGGGTACTTGGGTGTATGAAAGAAAAAGTATGTACTTAAAACAAAAGTATCGTATTGAAAGAAAAGAGCTATGGTACCAAAAGGAAAGTACATAAACTACTGTAGCAAAAGCACAAGTGTTAGAATATTAAACAATTGAAAACTAAAGGTTTAGTGTCAAGCTAGCAAATAACTAAAAGCTAAATCACCTACTGGTACATTAATCTACCCTAAACACAAGCTAACGGGCAACATCTAAGCGAGTTGTAAGACCTATCAAAGAAAATTAATGAGCATCTTAGTCTAAATGTTTAGATTGTAAGACTCACTTTCGGACTTCTTCTAAAAGAAGTAAGACTTGTTATTCGATATAATCTTCTCGGAGAAATATTAAACTCTTAAATTAAATCACAACTAATAGATAGTTTAGCCTATAGGGCTAGGTTGTAAGACCCGCTAACGGACAACTTTTAAGTGAAGTCGTAAGATTCACACACAAGGGAAATTACTATATAAATTGCAAGATCTTAAAATCCAAATAAACAAAACTAATGGGCAGCCTTGCTTATAG